GAAGACTCTGGAAGCCTGCTATTAAAGGATAGATTCGAGAGACAAGAGGCGACAGCTACCTTGTGGAGAGCTTTAATATACAGCCGAACGCTGCGCCTGGGTTCAGGAACGTGGCAACTGTGGTGATTAGGATGGCCGGATTACGAACAGGTCATAAGAGTACGTTGTGATGGGCGACCGGCAGGACAGAGGCCTCTGCATGGAAATAATCAATATGCGACATTTTATAGAAACTCGTTCTGAAGGCGGTGATCGTCACCCCTAGCTTGGTTATGGCTAGCTGATGATGGCTAATAAGCCAGAAATGATCATTCCAGTCTCCTTTGTGTTTGTAGCCTAATTTAGTTCTGTCTAAAATAGACTAGCCGTTGGGGGGTGGCTGGCGAGGCTCGAGAACGAGCTGCAAGGTAGCACAGCGCAGCGCACCGAGAGCAGTGAGTTCCGTAACCGATCGGCGAACGTCTACGCAGGCAGTGTTGCAAATGTAAAACCGTAAAACCTGCATACACCCGCCACTACCTGCCATTTGAGCTTGTCTATACATGCCTCCTCAGTTGCCATCATTTGGCATTCCGAAGAGCCACGCCTACGCGCACAGACGAGTCAAACATGAAGTTTGTCTTAGCTGTTGCGTCCCGGGGACTGTTACCTGTCTACCATAAGCCTTCCATCTTTTACGTTGAACGCTGAGGCCTTCGCCCACCGAATCTGTACGAAATAAGGTTTGGCAACTTGAATGCTATTACTGAAAAAGAAAAGCGGGCGACTGGAATGACCGTTTCTAGCATATTAACCGTCGTCAGACAGCCGTACCCAATCACAGGTGCTGTGGACCCCAAGGCACGATGGAAAGCGTGAATTCTGTAATTGATCAGTGAGCGCCTACCTACCATCAGGGTTATGCAATTTCAGATGTAAGCTTAGATAGCATTTAGACGATACAAACGCTTCTGAAGTTTGCTGCGGTGCTGTTTTTTCATTCGGCCAGATCGGTTTGTTTTGGCAATCGCATCATTCTTTTTTTTCTGTTTGCCTTCTTTTTTCGTACAGAACGCTATTAGGCACAACCTCTCCCTCCACAAATGCTTCCGACGCGTCGAAAGCGCCGGCGGGTCTGTGTGGATTTTCGACGAGAAGGAATGTCAAATGCGAAAAACCAAAGGAACTCTGTAAGTTCAGCGATGGTACCCCTGTAAGCATTCAGTGATGAAAGTTTTGACCGAACGAACGTTTTCGATTAATTTATCATCAGGGATGTTCAGTAATATAAAGGAATAGTAGAGTTAGCAAAAGTTTAAACAACCAATCAGTGGTAATTAAGGGGAAGACGATGTTAAGGGATCAGAAGGGATACTTGCGACGGCAGATGCAGTCGCCATACGGCTCATTAACCCGATATAATGTGCACAGAAAGTGTTTGTACAGGCACTAAGTCTCCCATGGCCGAATACCACCTCAACATCCATACACACGTCTCCTACCACGCCGCGAGACGGTGACGAGATAGCGACTGCAAGCATCCCCAGGCCGCCCACGCTATCAGGATACGAAAACACCTTGCTTCCTCACGTCTCCAAACAAAACGCGAGGCTAGGACAACCAGACGACATGAACTAATTTTTGGACCCCTGTCCCCTTCTCTGATCCCTAATTGCGACTAGGATATGATTATTTTGATCCCTTGAAACCTTTCCCCTCTTGATTACTACTGCTTGGTTGCTTAAACTTTTGTTAACTCTACCCTCCCTCATATTATTCTATTTTTTCTGATGACGAATTAACCGAAAACATTCGTTCGCCTAACTTGACATCCTGAACTCTGTAAGTGTCTGTTGTAGTGCTTCCAATCCCCTTTGCCTGAATCCATTGTCCTACATCAACTGAATTCATTATTTTTTCCTCTCTGGCTACAGGTACTACTCTCCCTCCTCCAAAGGTGTAAGTCGCCCGCCAACCCCATTGTTAACTTATTTCTTTAAATTCTTGCTTCATACCTTTCCTATATACTGTGCTCGGCATCCGCCGCAACAGATATGATGCTCTGCTTTTCTCTCCTGCCTTCTTCCAGGAATTCAAACGTGTCCTTAACAGGTCGGCGGGCAGCAAAATGAAGAGCTCGCCCTTCGCATCTCGGCGAAAGGACAGCCTGTTGAACAGAAGTCGCATGGACTGTCTGTCAGCATCGGCAGCCGCGGAGGTTCCTCACGACGCTGTTGGTGGTGGCGGTGTCGACGGTTGTCTGGACAGCAATAACATGAGCTTTCCCCACGATGATGACTTCTCAGGGCTGGGAAACAATCGTGAAGCCGCGCCCTCCACCATGCCACCCTGTCCATCCACTTGTTGTTCTATTAAACTAGAGGACGAGTCCACCACCACCATCACCCCTTCCGACGCCAGGCAGCATCACCTGTAAGCAGGATTGATTTTAGAGGCCCTCAAAAGTCTTGTCGACTTATAATAATAAAAAACTACTTTTTAATGTTCGGTAGCCTGACTTTACACTGTTTTCGTTAAATTCAATCAATAGGAGGATGAATTTCTATTTTCGTTAAATTCTCCCTACATAAGTTCGAATTTCCCTCAATTAGCATTCGTATCCTGCGCAACGGAAGTTTATGTTGCTCGAAGTTTATTCTCTTTTAGCATATTTAAACAAACATAATCTTA